TCTGTGACAGACCTGACCTTGGTGTTTTGGAGCATTGTAGAAGTGTTTGGAACTTTGACCTGGAAAAGCCACTGAGTGCTCAGAGTGTTGCTGTGGAGCTTGGAACAGTTATGCTGAAAGAGTTGTGGATGATGGAGGTCTGGCTTGTGAAGCTTCAAAGGGAAGTGGAGGCTATCAGGGCTGTTCATGTGAGATTTTGAGTTCGTTTGAGATTTGTGAGATTCGTGTGAGTTCTGGTGAGCTGAGGCTGAAGAATCAGCTGTGATTAAGAAGAGACCAGAACCTGAAGTAAAACCTTTGCTTTACTGGGACAATTGATGCTGGTTAGCTGGGGCTGAAAAATCAGCTGTAAGTAACAAGATACCAGCATCACTGTGGTGAAATCTTCTGGGAGGTATTTTCTCAGGATCAGCACACAGAGGGGACCTGAACCTCTGTCTCTAGATAAAAGCAGGACTTGGTAATGTGTAAGGGTCTCCTGCATGATTCTTGTGTTGAAAGCGTGAAGGGGTCATGGAGAGCAGCTGAGGCTTGGCACTCTGAGAGGCCAGGAAAGGCCATAGGTGAAAGTGCAGCTTCAGTTGCAGTGAAGACCCCAGGATTGAAGGGGTCATGGAGAGAATCTGAGGTTTTGCACCCCAGAGGCAAGTAGAGGCCATTGGTGAAGGTGTAGCCTCAGTTTCAGTGGAGACCCCAGCTTTTTAGAGATGCCAGGACTGTGGGACGACCCCCAAGGTCCACAGTAGATGTGGAATGGAGCTGGCCTGGGTCTGTGAGATGAGCTGAGTGTGTTGTGGACTGCAGAGTCAGAGCAGTGGAGCTGCCAGAACCCTTTGGAGCCCAGAAGATCATGAGTGAATCCCAGATGTTCAGCCTTGAGCTGCTTTGCTGGACTTTGGCTTTGCTTAGGTGTGCCTAATTCTTCCCTTTGAAATAAGACAGTACTTGTTTTGGTTTTTACAGAAGTCCACCCACAGTTAAGAGACTTTTAAAAGAGACTATGGACTTTTCAGTGTTTGAATTTTTTAAGTACTGTGGGGCTTTTAAGGACTGTGGGGCTTTTCTTATGTTGTGATATTAACATATCTTGGTGACAAGAATTGTAAAAGTTTTGGTTTAATAGTGATGTTTGTGTGCCAAGTTGACAAGAGGTCAATTGTTCTGGATAGCTTTAGTGTCAACTTGACACCCCTGGGTTGAGGGAGCCTCAATTGGGGAATTGTCTTCATTGGACTGACCTGTGGCCATGTCTGTCGGGCATCTTCTTCATTGTTGTGTGATGTGGGAGGGCCCAGCCCACTGTGGGTAATGCCCCTGGGCAGGTAGACCTGCATTTCATAAGAAAGCAGGCTGAGCAGGGGCCAGGGGAGCAAGCCAGTAAGCAGTGACACTCCATGGCCTGTGCTCCAGCTCCTGGCTCCATGTTCCTGCCCTGAAGTTCCTACCTTGGGCTCCCTGATGAACTATGACCCAGAAGATGTAAGCAGAATAAACCCTTTCCTCCCCAAGTTGGTATTGGTCAGAGTGTTTTGTTACAGCAATGGACAAACTAGGACAGTTGCAGTGTCATTTTTCTCTGCTAGACTGGTGTTTATTCTTCTGAGAGTAGAACACCGTCTGAAAAAAAAGGTAGGCCCAGGGCCTGGAGAGATGGTTCAGAATGCTTGCTGCTTTTCTAAAGTACTCGAGTTCAGTTCCCAGCACCCACATCAGGCAGTTCACAACCATCTGTAACTCCAGGCAGGTCCAGGGGATACAACATCCTCTTTTGGCATCCACAGACAATTACACACACACTTCATAGAAACACACATACATAAAATAAAAAATAAAGTCCAATATAAATATGCAGTAATATTCAAATAACAGTCACTCCCTTAAAATTCTTGTTTTAGGAAGAAACAATGATAAAAAGTGTGCAGTAAGACATTAATTAGTATGGGTGTGGGTGTAAAGGAAAAACGCGGAGTAGGTTTGTGACTGATAGAGATAAAGTAAAGTAAGGAAAAGTAAATGGAAGGGAGAACAATAAAGACGGGATGAGGAAGTTTGGACTGAAGTTAGAGTGGAAAGAGAGAGGCGGAGAAATGCGATCAGATAGCTAAAAAGAATCCCAAGTCTCAGAGACACAGAGACCCAACAAACCAGGGTAGCCTGTGTTCTTTGAAAAAGCTTATGGAAAAGGAAAGACTCTAGAAAAAAAAAGAAGATAAAAAACAGAGGGAGAGAGAGAGAAAAAGGACAAGAACAGAGCAGGACAAAGCTGGCCTGCTTAATTAACACTGGGAAGAATCCATGCACTGAGCACGATCTGATGGGGTATAGGATTTGAATGCAGCCTTACTACATTGCTGGTTGTAGTCCCCTTCCTGAGCTTCCAGATGCTTGTCACACACTTGAAAAACTTCATGAAGTCGGGTCACAGGTCCTGGTGAGACATCAGGATCAGGTTGTAAATGCTGGCCCCTTCTCAAGGTGGTCCTTCCCAGTGCTCCACTTGGAACCTGTGTCTATGTTCCCTCCAGACGCTCTCTCACCAGGTTTCCACTGAGATGACTATGGCACAGTTGTGATTCAGAGTTTCTTCCCCATGGTCTAGAAGTGTTCTGCTGACTAGGTTTCAGCATAAAATTCTCCTGATACTTGCTCTGAGTTTCTCAAGAGGGTCTGGGGTCATCGAGATGCCATCTCAGCAGAGGTTTATTTGTGTGTGTGCACACATGTGTGTGTAGGTGTGCATGCCCATACTCCAGTCAGTACCAAGAGGAGTTTCTCCAAGGTCTCTTCTCCCTCAGCTGCTGCTATGTACAACTTCTCTCTCTCTCTCTCTCTCTCTCTCTCTCTCTCTCTCTCTCAAATACCTTTTGCTAAGAGTATAGTACTGATTTTCTGAGCCTCTGCATTAATTGTGGTTCTGGAATATCTCTCTCTCTCTCTCTCTCTCTCTCTCTCTCTCTCTCTCTCTTTCTCCCTCTCCCCCACCATTGGAAGGAGGCAGCTCCTCAGATCTGCCAATCCCTCCAAGAAAAACTGTAGTTTTCCTCTTCTGATTTTAATGCTTCTTGTCTTATTTTGCTATTCGATGAGATTTTTGGCCATCACTCACTTCTAAGAACTATTATCCAGCTTTCCCAAGGTTATTCCCTGTGTGCCTACATGTTTTCTACCCTCCCACATCTCTACTTTATTATGTATTTTTTATTTTTACTCTCTTTCATGTGCTTATGTACATTGTATGCATTTGTGTGTATGCATGTCCAAATGTGTAAGCATACATGTGTGTACACTGTAGAGGCCAGAGGTTGATGTGTGTGAGTCAGTTGTCCATCACACTATAGCAAATATCTGAGATAATCAGCTCAGAAAGAGGAAAAAATATTTTTGCTCACAGTTTTGAAGCTTCTAAACCATGAATTGTTAGCCTTGTTGCTTTGGGCAATGCTGCTCACCTCATGACCAGGATACAGAAAGAGAGAGAAGAGGCCAGGTATGGTGGTGCTTGTCTGAATCCCAGCACTGGTATGGTGGTGCTTGTCTGAATCCCAGCACTGAGGAGGCTGAGGTTAGAGAATTTTGTGTTCCAAGCAGCCTGCGATCCATGGCAAGCCTCTGTTTCAGAAAGAGGGAAAGAGAGAATGAGGAAGAGAGAGAAGAGGGAGGACAGGAATGGATAGAGATGGGTCTCATTGTCCCCCTTTGGTCATACACTCAATTATCTAAAGACCTCCCACTAGGCCCCATGTCCTAAAGTTTCCACAGTCCTTCAATAGCACCACTCTGGGAACAAACCTTGAACACATGGGCCTTTGGGAGACCGTTCCAACCCCAAACTATAGTGTTATTGGAGTAGAAGGGGATGCTTTACTCATTCCTTTCAGAACAGCAAGATCATAGATTCCCCTAGGAGAAGAATGAACAGACAGGGTTTGAGACCAGTCTACCACTTCTACCAACCCCATAGTTTAGCAACAGTTCCTAGCAGATTGAGAGTTGCGAGATTTCTTTTACCTTTGAGTTTTTGTTTTAAAATGAAGAAATTTGTATCAGAGGACCTAATTTTGTTTCCTAAATGAGAAAGTGTATACAGAATTTCTAAGTTCACATTTAAGTGCCCACATTTGGATTGTCTTCAGAATTACAGATAAATGCAGTTTTGCCTCTGCCCTGGCTTCTCCCAGGGCCCCAGCTACATCCCCAGTGCTCTGTCTGGCTGCCCTCAGTGCTTTGCCATCCCCCACTTTGCTCCTTTGTACTCATGGTCAACACGTTGGTAACTGGGAGTTTTATCTGTTTCATTTCAGAAATGGGTCAAGTTTAAGAGGGACTTTGATAATTTCAAGACTCAATGTATTCCCTGGGAAATGAAGATCAAAGACATTGAAAGTTGGTATTTTGGTATCACTTTTTTTCATTGGTTTTCTCAAAGAAGTCTTCCAAGAACTTGGATTGTATACTTGGCCTTCTGATTAGGTTATTTTATAGACTCTTTATTAGAATCTTTAAAATATTGTATTAGAGTAAAAGGGCTTTGGACTAGTGTAGGAATTATATTCAAATCCAGATTCCTCACTTTCTGACTGTATGAATTTAGGCAGTTCAAAACTGTGTTGGCCCCATACAGCTTCAAGTTATCTAATGGAAAAAGAAAATGGGAGACTAATGTGAAAACCACATCTATCACACATATAGAACACTCAGTAGTGCCGATTTCTCCATGTGCACACTTGGATCTGTCCATCTTTTCTCCCTCCAGGTCACTTTGGTTCTTCAGTGGCATCGTACTTCATCTTTCTCCGATGGATGTATGGAGTTAACCTTGTCCTTTTTGGCTTAATATTTGGTTTAGTCATAATTCCAGAGGTAATAAATGAATTTCCTGTATTTTTAGATAATCTTGAGGCTTTACCACAGCCACCATCTTCATTTATGCTTTCCAAATATTCTTTTTTTCACTATGTCATTCTTTTTAATTTCGTTAGACAAGGTATTGCTAGTAGTCCAGACGGACCTCGAACTCACAATCTTCTTGCTTCATTCTCCAAAATGCCTGAATTATAGTCATGCGCCACAATGTTCAGCTTTATTTAAATTCCATATTCACATCAATTGCCCAAGTAGTTCAGAGAATTGCACCAACATGCTTAGGTTTCTGAATTAAGAAATATATAGCACATTTTTCTGTCTTTCATCTGAACTCAAGATGAGTGGAAAATTAATATCTCAGTGATTTTTTTCTTCTACTCTGAAAAAAAAAGAATAAAAAAGGACAAAACTAAGCAAAAAGTAAGAAACTTATAAGGGAAAACAAGGAAATAGTTACAAAATAAACTATATCTTGAGATGTAAAAGAGATAGGTATAATTCTGGAGAGATGTACCCAGGGTCTTACAAAGTCTTGGTGATTGTTTTTTGTTTTCATTTGGTTTGTTTTGGGGTTCAGTGCACGTGAGTGTGAGTATATGAGTGTGTGTGTGTGTGTGTGTGGAGTATGAGCGTGTGTGTGTGTGAGTATATGAGTGTGTGTGTGTATGTGTGTGTGTGTATGTGTGGAGTATGAGCGTGTGTGTGTGTGAGTGTGAGTATATTAGTGTGTGTGTGTATGAGCATGTGTGTGTGTGAGTGTGAGTATATGAGTGTGTGTGTGTGTATGTGTGTGTGTGAGTATATGAGTGTGTGTGTGTGAGCGTGAATGTGTGTGTGTGTGTGTGGAGTATGAGCGTGTGTGTGCCTGTGCACATGTATGGAGGTCAGAGGAAAATGTCAGTTGTGCTGCTCTGTCACTTTCTACCCTATTCCCTTAAGACAGAGTCTTTCACTGAATCTTGAACTAGGTTGGCAGCCAGCAAGCCCTACGGATAGTCCTAGCCCCACCTCCCCCTAGTCCACATCCCCACCCCAAGTACTGTGGCTATGAATTTTTTTTTTTTTTTGGTCTTTTTGAGACAAGATCTCCCTGTAGCCCTAGTCAGTCTGGCAGTCTGGCACTCTCTATATAGACCAGGCTGGCCTCGATCTCACTGATCTCACCTGCCTTTGCCTCTCAAGCACTGGGATTAAAGGCACGGGCCACCATGCCTGACTGTACATGACTTTTCATATGAGGGCTGAGTATTCAAATTCAGCTCTTCATGTTTGTGCAGCAATTGATATGACCTACTGAGCCATCTCCCCAGCCCTAACTTTGTGTTTCCTTAAGCTAGATGGTGGTTGGATACACAGTAATTTTCATTATGATCAACTGTACCCATGTATCATATACGCTACTATATGTGCAACATTTTTCCCAATAAGAGTATAAATTAAAAGCAAACAAACAAACAAAAAAAACAGAAGGACTAGGCTTGGTGGCACATGCCTGTAATTCCAGCACTGGGAAGGTAGAGGCAGAGGCAAGAGGATCATTTCAAGTTCTAGGCCAGCCAGGACTGCATATTGAAACCCTATCTCAGAAAGAGAGAGGTCTCAGAGAGAGGGAGAGGGAGAGAGAGGAGAAGGAAATTACCTGAAATTATGAACCTATAAAATAGCAAGCAGCCGGGTGTGGTGGCACACGCCTTTAGTCCCAGCACTCGAAAGGCAGAGGCAGGCAGATCTCTGTGAGTTCAAGGCCAGCCTGGTCTATATAGTGAGTTCCAGGACAGCTGGGGCTACAGGGAGACCCTGCCTCAAAAAGACAAAAAAAATAGCAAGCAAAAGCAATTTTCTGTGGTGAGATGCTAAAGCTTAGGCCACTAACAACAAGAGCGACATCGTGTTCTTGTCTTTAGTACTTTTCAATATTTTTTGAAATTTCTACTTCATACAATAAGTCAAAAAATAAATACCTCATACACTTTGTATTAAATATATAATTTAGGGGCTGGACAGATGGCTCAGCAGTTAAGAACACTGGTTGTTCCTGCAGAAGACCCGGGTTCGAATCCCAGCACCCACATAGCAGCTAACAACTGTCTGTAACTCCAGTCCCAGGGGATCTGACAGCCTCTTGACCTCTGTGTCCACAGGCATTGCACAACACAGGTGCACTTACCTGCGTGCAAGCAATACACGCATACACATAAAATAAAAATAATAAATAAAATATTTTAAATATATATAATTTAAATTTCCAAGTGATATGAAGCCCCCAAATTCACTTATTCTGCCAAAAATTACTAGAATTTGTAAAAGACTATACAGAGATGGCTAGAGTCACTTTAAGTAGACATTACCATCAAATCTCTGTATTCTTAACATCTAGTTTACAATATATTTGACAGTTTGATAAAAGAACAATAAATCTACAAAATAACTAGTAAAAAAATATTTAACAAACTAGGAGATTTCCATGAAGAACACTGCAGAGTATTACTGGAGGAAAGTGAGGTGATATATGGAAAGATACATTCTTGGAAGGGACAACTTAATCCTTTTTTTTTTTTTCCTTTGTCTTTTTGAGACAGGGTCTCCCTGTAGCCCCAGCTGACCTGGAATTAGCTCTGTAGACCAGGTTGGCCTCGAACTCACAGAGATCCACCTCCTTGGCCTCACAAGCACTGGGACTAAAGGTGTGCACCACCACACCCCGCTTAATCCTATTTTTTAAAAAAAGCTAATCCATGGGCTGGAGAGATGGCTCAGTTGTTAAAAGCATGTACTGCTCTACAAGAGGACTGGAGTTAGGTCCCCAGCACCCATGTTTGGTAGCTCATAGTCTCCTATAACTCCAGTTCCAGGATCTGTGACACCTGCTTCTGGCCACCTCTGGCACCTACTACATGTGCAAATAAAAAATAAAAATAAATCTTTTTAAAAGTCAGTCCATCCTGAATCATTATGTATTAATCCATTTCTGTTTTTTTCATGAGTAAGGATATGAATGATATGATATAAATGTACATATACAATCTATAAATATTCTAATGCCTAACAATAGGGATTTGTTAAGTATGCATATGGTACATATATGGTTAGATATTTTAAGTCATTTTATTCATGGAACTACCTTATGACATAAGGAATTGATCTTAAACAACATTAAGCTAAATAACCAAATTAAAATAGTTACAACATTCAGAAATTACTAGAAGAAATTATGTTGCTGTCCAGCAGTCATCATTTTGGGGTTGTAGAAATGATATATAATACTGTGCTCTATACTCTTTCACATTTTCTACAGTGAATGTTTATTACTTTTAATATAGCTGGGCATGATGGCACACGCCTTTAGTCCCAGCACTTGGGAGGCAGAGGCAGGCGGATCTCTGTGAGTTCAAGGCCAACCTGGCCTACATAGTGAGTTCCAGGACAGCTGGGGCTACAGGGAGACCCTGTCTCAAAAAGACCAATAAATAAATAAATAAATAAGCTGGATATGGGGAGGGGCTCACACTTTTAATCCCAGCACTCAAGAGGCAGAGGTAGGTAGATCTCTATGAGTTCCAGGGCAACCTGGTCTACATAGTGAGTTCCAGGCTGGCTGGGGCCACAGTTGTCTCAAAACTGTCTCAAAAACCCAAAATAATACAAAATCTGAAACATCCACACTGCTAAAGAAAAAAAATAGGCATCTCCTGCTGTGAAAGGGCAAGTATTAACCCAGCATATACATATGTTTACACGTTCACTTTTCTCCACTTACACTTCTGTTGTTCTGTCCCTACATAAGATACTGATGGGCATGCCTTATGGAAGCATACCCAGAAAGACCGTGCCTCGGGCTGAGGAAGAAAAAGCCATGGACTTTTCCGTCCTTTGGGATTTTGAGGTATGATTGCCGACATGTCAATGCATTTCCAGTCTGCAGGCTGTAACGCTGGTGCACTTCATTCTCAAAGTCAAATTTCAGTCCCCTCAGAAATATGTGGCAATGAGGCTGAAGGGCTCAGTGGCTAAGAGCACCGGCTCTTCTTCCAGAGGACCCAGGTTCAGTTCCCAACACCCACATTGTGGCTAACAACTGTCCCTAACTCCAGTTCCAGACCTGATGCCCTTTTATGATTGCCACAGAAACTACATACATGTGGTGCACTTACAAACAAGCAGGAAAAACACTCAGACACATTAAAAAAAAAATAAGTAAAATATTTTTTTAATGTGTTACAGAAAGTTGGAGACATTTCCCAAAGCACACTGCTACCAAGAGCTTTTCTTTATCCTTTATTTCACCTAGGGATCCCTACTCAAACAGCTTATGAATAAATATCTATGAATAAATAGATAATTGTGAAATGTTACACTTAACTGTTGAAAAAACAAAACAAAAACAATGGTTAACAATAACATGAGATACAGGTAAGTCACTATCTTATCAACACATTGTGTTTGACTTTCTATATTGTCCCTAGTTATCTGTTTATAAAGACCCATATGTACCCCCATTCCTATTAGATTTTTCTTTAAAAAAGAAAAGTCTCCTCGTATAAGAAACTCTGTTTGTTATAACCCTTTTGTGCAAAACAAACCCATAAATTCCCATTCAAATCATTAAATATGGACAGGCTGGTTCGTTGCAAAGATGTCGTTGATCTAACTACTTCAATATCTTTAAAAGGTCACTTTTGGTTTTTCACACAGCTATAACTTCCAGTATCTTCTAAGGTCAGTGGCTCTTTAAAAACAGTGAAATCATGCTGTTTTTTTTAGGCTCTGGTCCTCCATCCATTTGGCTGTATATATTCTGTCCATATGATGGGTCCAGGTGGCCATGCACAGTTTTGTGTAATCCTCTGTCCATCCTTTTCCCATATGATGGGTCCAGGTGGCCATGCACAGTTTTGTGTAATACACTCGAGTACTAATCTTGATCCTAAAATAGGTACACCATTAACATTAGTATTGATGACACACATTTCAGCTTTTACGCTATTCACAGTCAGTATAGTTAGAACACAGACAAGAAGAACTTCAGGTTTAGAGATATTTTGGCCCTGGCGATGTCCCAACTCCTGGGCATCGTTCATCAGGTTCTTAATCATTCCCCAGGTCACAGGAGGCTGTGTCTTCTTTTGGGGTCTCCTTTTCCGCTTCCCCAGGGTCAGTGCAGCCATCTTTGCTGTGGGGGCTTCGGTTGAGTGGTCTGACATATCTGAGTGGTGCCCATTGGGGGGAGGATTCCTTTTCTATAAAGACACAAGCATACCCTCACCCCACTGTTAGTAGAGGTGCTGGAGTTTTGCTCCACAGTCCTGACTCAGGGTCCCTCCAAAGTACTTGCGGCAGGGGCTGTGGGACAGTCAGTCCCTGCCAGTGCTTGGCCATTGGAGAAATTCCTTGATCATTTGGTGTAAAAAAGTTTTAAGTTAGTAGAGACCTGTGTAATAAGAAATGAGGATTCTGTACTGTTATCCCAGGTATAGGTGATTCCCCGATTTTCCTTTTAATTATTTGATCTTTGAGATGTTTGTGTTGTCTCTCTATTACTGCTTGTCCTGTGGGGTTGGAAGGAATGCCAACGATGTGAAATAGGGAACAAACTGTTTCAGATTCAAACCAGGCTCACCAAACAAAACTGTTTTCTTTTGGGCTGTCCCATCTGGTTCCAGGAGGCAAAAACCTACTTTTTGAATTGAATTATTTTATTATGGGCAAGGGAAAACATTAAAAGCAACATTTGTATAACATAGAGAAACATTAAAGGACATTTTCTAGTAGTTATAGGCAACTTTAACACTTGTCTTCACACATTTAACTCCAGACTGTGCTTAGGTGTGTAGCACAAGTCAGTGAAGTAGACTGAAAAAAAGTTTTTCTTTGGCTGTAACAGTGATTATAACAACAACCATCACCTTGTACATTTATAAACTTATTTAGACCATTTAAACGTTTTTATTATTCCTTTCATTTTTTTCATTTTGGAAGTATCCAGTCTTTTTTTTTTTTTTTTTTTTTTTTTTTTTTTTAAAAAAAAAAAAAAAAAAAAAAAAAAAAAGAGGACGATAAATCTTTCACTGTGATATATCAAAATAA